AGTCGGCGGGACTGGGACTGGAAGAGCGGAGGACAGCCATCGAGGCTTTGGCTCTCCGCAATGCCTTGGACGAGGGTCAAACGGTCGTGCGCTGGGTTCACTCACGCGCACAGATCGCCGACGGTCTAACCAAGGCAAGCTGGCAGGCATTCGGAGTGGTTCGGGCCTTCCTCGAGAAGCAGCAGTGGTGCCTCATCTACGACGAGCAGTTCATGAACGCTCGCAAGCGGGCAGCTCTTGGCAAGGGCATCTTCGACGAGACGGACCCGACCGACCCGGCCTCAGCTCGTCAGGTACTCGAGGAGCGTAGGTTGGCCCGCCAGGCACAACCACCAGCCAGCATGGAAGGGAATCCTTCCGGCTCGACGACCTCTACTGGGTTCTCGGCCTCCGAATCCCTGATCATGATCCAGAAGTTGCAGCAGGAGATCGAGACCCATCAGAAGTTCGTCCAGCAGCACACACGGAGCGCAGAGATTGCCTGCGCGCACGGTACAGGGCAGAACCTTTTTCCCCCTGTCTGAATGCTACGCAGGAGTAAGCTTGAGCAGCAGCTGTCTCCTGCCCGTCTGCCCTGTCCGTTTCGCCGCCACCCTCGGCTCAAGGCGAGGGAGGGCGGGACTCTTTCTGACAGAGCCTGGCCGTGCCAGGCAGACCGCGCACACTACAGCGCGGCCGTTCATATTGTGGACAAAAGGTGTTCACGGACAATTATCACGATAATTGACATCGACACATACTTTCTCTTGCTCCTCCTCATCGTCACCAGCGTGAACGATCTAGAGGACGAGCTCTAGTAATCAGACTATGGGGCCACGAAGCGCTGTACTGGGCGTGCGGGACGCCTGCGCACGGTAGCATTGGGACCTTCGGTGGGGTTCCCTATGGGGCCACGAAACGTTGTACTGGGTAGGTGAAACGCAGGAAGGAGGAGGAGGGCCACGAAGAGCTGTACTGGGTGTGCGGGACACATGCGGACGGTAGCACTGGGACCTTCGGTAGGGCTCCCTACGGGGGCCACGAAGCGCTGTACTGGGTGGGTGAAACGCAGGGAGGATGGGGAGGAAGGCCACGAAACGCTGAACTGGGTGTGCTGGGCGCATGCGGACGGTAGCACTGGGACCTTCGGTGGAGCTCCCCATGGGGACACGAAACGCTGTACTGGGTGTGCGGGACGCATGCGGACGGTAGCACTGGGACCTTCTGTGGGGCTCCTATGGGGCCACGAAGCGCTGTACTGGGTGGGTGAAACGCAGGGAGGAAGGGGAGGAGGGCCACGAAACGCTGTACTGGGTGTGCTGGGCGCATGCGGACGGTAGCACTGAGACCTTCGGTGGAGCTCCCTATGAAGCGACGAAACGCTGTACTGGGTGTGCGGGACGCATGCGGACGGTAGCGCTGGGACATTCGGTGGGGCTCCCTATGGGGCCACAAAGCGTTGTACCGGGTGTGCGGGACGCACAAAACGCTGTACTGGGTGCGCAGGGCGCATGCGGACAGTAGCACTGGGACCTTCGGTAGGGCTCCCTTTGGGACCACGAAGCGCTGTACTGGGTGGGTGAAACGCAGGGAGGAGGGGAAGGAGGGCCACGAAGAGCTGTACTGGGTGTGCGGGACACATGCGGACGGTAGCACTGGGACCTTCGGTAGGGCTCCCTACGGGGGCCACGAAACGCTGTACTGGGTGTGCGGGACGCATGCGGACGGTAGCACTGGGACCTTCGGTGGGGCTCCCTATGTGGCCACGAAGCGCTGTACTGGGTAGGAGGGCCACGAAACGCTGTACTGGGTGTGCGGGGCGCATGCGGGCGGTAGCACTGGGACCTCCGGTGGAGCTCCCTATGGGGCCACGAAGCGCTGTACTGGGTGTGCGGGACGCATGCGGACGGTAGCACTGGGACCTTCGGTGTGGCTCCCTATGGGGTCACGAAACGCTGTACTGGGTGGGGAGGGGAGGAGGGCCACGAAACGCTGTACTGGGTGTGCGGGACGCATGCGGACGGTGGAGAGGAAGGGGGCATAGGAGGAGAGGAGAACGCGGGGACCGTCTCTTCAAAACGAAGACCCAACACCACAGGATGGTTGGGAATTATTTATGATTTCTCGCCTTGTCGCTTCCGATGAAGCCTCAAGATGGCCCGAGAGAAGCCCCAAAGGGGCCCAAGAGGACCCCCAGACGGCCCCAAGAACGCCCAAGTGCGGCCCAAGAGCGCCCCCGGGGGGGCCCCAAGAGGCGAGTTTGATGGCCCCAGGTGCACAAGGCAAATCGGGCCCCCCTCTCTTTTGATCGATGGCCTTCAAGGTGGCCCCAAGAGGTCCCCCAGGGGCTCCCAAGGGAGCCCCTAAGAGCGCTCCAAAAGAGCTCTAAGATAACCCCAAGATCCCTCCAAGGCTCTGTCCTCGTCCTCGTCCTCGTCCTCCTTCTCATCCTTAACCTCGTTGTTTTCCTTTTCCTTTCTCTCCTCTTCCTCGTCGTTGTCGTCGTCGTCCTCCTCCTCCTTCCTTTGCCCCCACGCGGGCCCTGGGGATGGCCCGAAGAGGCCCTCCAAGGCCACCCCCTTGCTCCCAAAGATCCCTTTGTTCACCCTGGTTGCCCGCTTTGTTCACTAAATGTGTCCCTTTGTCCCTTTTACCGTAAACTCTCATGGGCAGGACTTCTGAATGGGCTGGTGGAAATAATTACGCGAAGCGTGAAGAATTCGGATCGAATCGAAATGTGCGTCGGGTCGGCCCGGATCGGCACGGGTTCGAATTCGAATCGTGTCAGCCGCGCCAGCAATGACATGCAAGCAGCGTGCCGCAACGGATCGCTCGCCATCGCTTGGACGTCCATTCCCTGTGTTTGTTTCGGTTTCGTGCGTGTTTTTTTCGCCAAATGATCAAAGATGCTCCTCGATGGTCCTCGCCGAAAGAAAAATGCACACGTCCGAGCGATGCCAAGATCGCCGGGAAATCGAAATCGAATCAGATCGAGCCAGGTGAACTCGACGTCGGATCGGATCGCTCGGATCGACACGGGCCCTATGCCGTGGACGTGGATAGATTCCGACGGTGGAACGCCGCTGCGAGCATGTCGGCGGCGCGCTGAGAGGGGAAGTGAGAGGAGGGCATGCCTTCTCAGAGGGCGGCGGAGACCTCTGGCCTTCTGAGAAGCCACCAGTGGCTCCGGAGACGGCCTTGGAAGCCTCTCAGAGGGCCGCATGCTTTCTGAGCCTTCTGAGCAGGCCCGCCCCCTCTGGGCGCCGCCGCCGAGCTTCGCTCCGGGCGACCCCCGCCAGGGAACGCGAGGCGGGATCACCCAGGAGCATCGGGGCCCTCGGGACCTCGCGGCCGCGGCATCGGTGGCCACTCGTGCCGAAGACGCGAGGCGGGCCATCCAGGGAACACGGGGACCCTCGAGGCCTGGCGGCTGCTGTACAGTCATCGGCCCGACCCAAGGAGCGATCAACAAGGAACGAAGCCCCTTTTGATCCAAGGAGTAACGCATAAGGAACGACACATGATACATAACGAATAAAGAACGATAAATCACGCATGCAAGCGCCCAAGGAGCGACCGAGCCCCTTGTGAAAAGTGAGTGTTCCTTATTCAAGCCGCCCCCCGTGTGCAGGGTTCGCGAGGCGGGTCGGGCGCTCTCTTCCCCCTGCATCTGACAGCCCCAGCCTGGTGGCGGTGGGGCACATGTGCGTGCGCATGCTCTGTATGAGCAGGGACCGACCGTCCCAGCATTCCTATAGTCCTACCACGAAATGTTATCAGACCCCCAGAATGTTCTAAGAACAAAACATTGTTCTTATAACACAAACCCGATGCGTTAAAGCAAGACAGACTCCACCATAACTGTTCTAAGAACATCTCGTGGAAACCACGAACGGTTCTAAGAACATTGTTTAGTGGGGCTATAGGCGAGCCCTCGCCATCGCTTGGACGTCCATTCCCTGATTTTGTTTCGGTTTCGTGCGTGGATTTTTCGCCAAATGATCAAGGATGCTCCTCGATGACCCTCGTCGAAGGAAAAATGCACACGTCCGAGCGATGCCACGGAGCAGTCCAGCGGGCCTCCGACAATTCACGTTGGTATGTTTTTGTGCCTCGTCCGATATGCCGACTTGTCTTATGTTGTTCCCATTGTACTTGAGGACCGCATCCCAGCAATGATTTCGAGCACCCGGAGAAGTGTCGAAGGAGTGTCGAAATAGTGTGGAAGCAGCGTCGGACGAGTGTCTCCCAGGGCCCGACACGTGAACACCTTGAGTTGTTGGGTACTTTTCTGGCGCTCGAAATTATTTCTGGTGATCCAGGCTAAAGTAGGCTGGAACATCATAAGACTTGTACTCGGTGTTGGGTCCCCAGAAGTGCCGAACCATTCCCCGCGGCTGGTGTTTCACCCCGAGTCGTCTTCTGACGGTTTTCTGGCCCGGCGCGACCCCCTGGAGGCCGGAAACGGCCGGACCTCCGTCCTGTGATGCTCAACGCGTTGGAGGTCTGGGTTCACTCACTGCTCCAGAGTGGGTAGAAACATGAAGCAGGGAGGCATTGAAAGCAGATTTGGTTTCCGCCCGCACCCTGAAGGCAAGGATCAGGGAAGACCATTCGTTCTTTGACACAGGAAGGCGCCTGAAGCAGAGTGAAACCTGGGAATCGACAAGTCCTTATTTTCAGGACTCCCCGGACCTCTGCGCGTTCTGACCACGGAGTTTCGAGGAGGGCCCTCCAGGGCGGCCAGTGGAAACTGTCAGTACCTTCTCCTCCTCTGAATTCATGCTGAATTCATGTTGTTCCCGTCGTACTCAAAGACCACTTCCCAGAAATATTTTCGAGATCCCGGAAAAGTGCCGCAACAGTGTCGGACGAGTGTCTCCCAGGGCCCGACACGTGAAAACCCCGGAGTTTCGGTACTTCTTGGGGTGCTCGACATTCTTTCTGGTGGCCAAAGCTAAAAAGTAGGCTGGAACGTCATAGCTCCGAACGTTCATGCCAATTTTCCCTCACTCGGGCGCCGCGTCCCCGAACTCGTGCTTCAGGCCCCAGCAGATGCCCGCCGGCGCCCCCCCGACGCCTGAGGGGCCACGTCTCGGGGTGGACGAAAGGGGGGGATAGCAAAGGGCCGGGTAGAGAATCAGCTCACGTGGCTGATTTTCCGCCAGCGCCTCCTGGCGCCGGGAGGCGCCCGTGTATCGAGGAGTGGGCCCGACGGCGGGGCCGAAACCAGCTGCACGCAGCAGACTTCGTAACCCCCCCTTTCCCTATCCCCCCCTTTCGTTCGGCCCGAGAACAGGGGCGGGCCTCCTTGGAATGCTAGGATGTCCCCTGGCCTTCTGAGAAATTTCTTTGTCGGGGCCTTCCACGAAGGCACGGCCTCCCTCTGAGGAGGTCCCGCCGCCTTCTGAGAAGGCGCGAGGGCTTCTGAGAAGTCCCTCCTCCTCCTCCTCCTCCTCCTCCTCCTCTTCCTCCTCCTACTCCTCTTCCTCCTCCTCCTCCTCCTCCTCCTCCTCCTCCTCCTCCTCCTCCTCCTCCCTTGCGTTCGGCCCGAGGCTCGAGGTGGACAGGCTCCGGGGGGGCATAAAACAGGGCTTGGACCGGGATAAATCGCCCCAGAGCGTCCCGGAGCGCTCTCAGAGCGATCCAGAACGCTCTGGAGCGGCCGCGGCGCCCAATACACCCCCCAAACCCGCCGACCCCCAGAGATCCCGAGCTGTCCCGATCCGATTTTGTCCCGGTCTTCGCGTCGTTTTAGGGCACGTCGAGCTGAGGCCGGCGATGCCTCGCCGGACATCGCCGAGGGGGCCCCCGACGGCGAGCCCGCACGCCCCTGGGCGGAGCGGGCCGCCGGGCTCCCATGGGGCGACGCGTGGGCGCTCGGAGCTCACGGCGCTCCCCCTCCTCGGGCCATCGCTCGGGCGTCCACCCCTTCGGAGGCAACGACTGGTGCGGGCAATATTTATATCCATATCCAGTGCGTCTTAGACTTTCTTGGAAGGGGCGCCGCAAGGCCGAGGCGCACTGGATATGGATAAAACTTGAGCATTTTGGAGGCAGATTATAATCCATATCCAGTGCGCCTCATGTTTCTTGGGAAGAGAGTCCGAAACTCCAAGACGCACTGGATGTGGATAAAGACATTGCCCGCAACTGGGAGGCCTTCGTCGGAAAGATAAAGGTGGATCAAACCCCATTTGGGAGCTATTACGCCGGAGTGGGCCTCGGCTTAAGCGGGATTAAGCCGGATTAAACGGAATTCAGCGGGATTGAGCGGAATTAAGCGGGATGAAGTCGGACTTCGGACCAGTGCAAAATCCGCCGACCCCTTGGGGTTCATCGGCGTGTGAGATGTTCCCCCTCCCCAAACCCCTCCCCCGGGAGCCCGGTCCGGTCCATTTGGAGGGGGGGGGGGGGGGTCCGGCCGGACCGGCCGGACGGGCCGGACCCCCCCGGAGGTCTCATCCGCTCCCGAAAAACGTGGAAAACACGTGAAATTCGTGTAGGGACGCGTCTGGTGGCCTCGAAATGGGTTTGGGACGCCCCACGAGCGCTCCAAGACGTCCAAGTTTGCCCGAAGACGGGCCACGAGGCGTCCTCGACGGCAGAAGAGGTCCCCACGAGCTCCCCCGAGGGCCTCCGAGATGCGTTCCACAAGGGTCCCTAGACGCCAAAATTGGGCCATTCCCATTGTGAAATGTACATTTTAAAAAATTCAGCTTTGGATCTTTCCGATGCTCCCCGACGGCCCAAGAGGCTCCCAAACCCGCTCCCAGACGGCCCCAGAAGCCTCGCAGAGGGTCCCCCACAGACCCCTAGAGGGCCCAAGATGGGCCAACAGGCGTCCAAGGCGGCCCAAGAGGGCTCCGGAAACAGCCCCAAGAGCGTTCCAGGAGCGTTCCGAGTTGCTTCCCCGAAGCTCCACATGGTCCCAGACGGTCCAAGAGTGATCAGAAACATCGACGACGACCTCCCGACGGCTCACGAGGCCTCCCCAGACGCCCCCACAGGCATCCAAGATTCCCCCCAAGAGGCCCTCTAGACGCAACAAATCGTTTGTTTCCTTCGTAAAACGTATATTTTTTTCACACGTGCGCTTTTGGGGGTGACGAACAACGTGGAAAAAACACGTGAAATTCGTGTAGGGACGCGTCTGGTGGCTTTGAAATGGATTTGGGACGCCCCACGAGCGCTCCAAGACGTCCAAGTTGCCCGAAGACGGGCCACGAGGCGTCCTCGACGGCAGAAGAGGTCCCCACGAGCTCCCCCGAGGGCCTCCGAGATGCGTTCCACAAGGGTCCCTAGACGCCAAAATTGGGCCATTCCCATTGTGAAATGCACATTTTAAAAAAATCAGCTTTGGATCTTTCCGATGCTCCCCGACGGCCCAAGAGGCTCCCAAACCCGCTCCCAGACGGCCCCAGAAGCCTCGCAGAGGGTCCCCCACAGACCCCTAGAGGGCCCAAGATGGGCCAACAGGCGCCCAAGACGGCCCAAAAGGGCTCCGAAAACGGCCCCAAGAGCGTTCCAGGAGCGTTCCGAGCTGCCTCCCCGAAGCTCCACATGGTCCCAGACGGTCCAAGAGCGATCAGAAACATCGACGACGACCTCCCGACGGCTCACGAGGCCTCCCCAGACGCCCCCACAGGCATCCAAGATTCCCCCCAAGAGGCCCTCTAGACGCAAAAAATCGTTTGTTTCCTTCGTAAAACGTATATTGTTTCACACGTGCGCCTTTGAGGATGACCCCCGCTCCTGCACGGCCCCAGAGCCCCCCAAACCCGCTCCCAGACGGTCCAAGACGCCTCCAAGAGGGTCCGTACATAGCCCTCGAGGGCCCCAAAACGCGCAAACACACGTCCAAGACGGCCCAGAAGGGCTCCGAAAACGGCTCCGAGAGCGCTCCAGGAGCGGTCCGAGTGGCCTCGAAGAGAGCTCCACATGGTCCTCGACCGTCCAAGGGCGATCACAAACATCGACGACGGCCTCCAAACGGCTGAAAGGGCCCCCAAGACGGCCCAAGAGGCATCCACAATGCGCCCACAGAGGGCCTTTAGACGCAAAAAACCGCCCGTTCCCTTTTGTAAAACGTATATTTATTCTCACACGTGCGCCTTTCGGGGTGCCCCCCGCTCCTGGACGGTCCCAGAGCCCCCCAAACCCGCTCCCAGACGGCCCAAGACGCCTCCAAGAGGGTTCCCCATATAGCCCTAGAGGGCCCCAAGACGGGCCAACAGACGTCCAAGACGGCCCAAAAGGGCTCCGAAAACGGCCCCGACAGCGCTCCAGGAGCGCCCCGAGTGGCCTCGAAGAGAGCTCCACATGGTCCCCGACGGTCCAAGAGCGATCAACAACACTGACGACGACCTCCAGACGGCTACAGAGGCCCTCAAGACGCCCCAAGAGGCATCCACGATGCGCCACAAGAGGGCCTCTAGACGCACAAAAACGCCCGTTCCCTTCGTAAAACGTATATATTTCTCGCACATGCGCCTTTTGGGGTGTTCCCCGCTCCTGGGCGGCCCCAGAGCCCCCCAAGACCGCACCAAGACGGTCCAAGAAGCCTCCACGAGGGCCCCGCGACAGCCCAAGAGGGCGCCAAGACGGGTCTCAAGAGGGGCAGAGGACGGCCCAAGAGAGCCCCGAAGACAACGCGCGCGACTCGCGGTCAGATTCCTCGCAACTTGCGTCGCTTCCCGCCGTGCTCGTCACTTGCTTCCGCAGGGCGTTTCGGCGGGTCTCTGACCATGGCCTGAAACGATCGAAGGTCACCCCACGGCCGCCCCTGACGGTTCCAAAAGACACCGCAAAGCAGTTCTGAGGTCACCAAGGGCATACCACAGTCCTCGGCAACAGATGGCGACGGCCAAGACGGCCGAAAAGAACGCCCAGAGCGCCCCATGACAGCCCAAGAGAGGCCGATGACAGCCCAAGAGAGCCCCAAGACAGCCCAATACTGCCACAGGACGGCCTAAGGGGCCCCAAGACAACCCAAGAATGCCCCAAGAATGGCCCAGGGGCCTCAGACCACCCAAAGAGGCGACCAGACCACTGCGCGATTCTTCATAAGGGGTCGGCGGATGTGGCGTAAGCCTGAAGAATCAGAATTTGACCTCCCAGGATTTGCATCCCAAATTCCCTGTGCTCTTTGTCGGTCTCGTGCGTGTTTTATTTTTCGCAGGAGGATCCAGGCTGCTCCTTAGTAATCCCCGCCGAGAAAAAGAGTGCACACGTCCGAGCGATGCCAAGCCCTGAGCCTATCCCTCCGCCCCTAGCGTATTGGAAGCGGCCCGGGGATCCTGCGCTGGCTGGGCTCCGAGAAGCTCGGCCAAGCGGGGGAACGCAGCGAGCCCGCTCAAGATACGACTCCCAGGACTCCGCCCGGGCGCGCAGACGGACAAGATTTTCGAGCCGCGCCCAACCGTGGCGGCGAATGGGGGGCCCCTTCCCCCCCCATTTCCTGCTGTTGAGTAGGGACCGACCGTCCCGGCATTCCTGTAGGTCTACCACGACATGCTCGCAGAACCCCCAAGTGCTCTGAGAACAAAAGCGATGTTCTCAGAGCATCGACCCGATGCGTCAAAACAAGACAGTCTCACCCAGAACTGTTCGAAGAGCAGTTCGAACAGCCCACTAAAGGTTCTTAGAACATTCTCTGGTTGGCCTGTAAGCGATTCAAAACGCTTCGCCACTGCTTGGATGTTGGCCGAAGCTGGTGCCAGCCCCCACAGCCGGCTCCATCCTCAGCGTTGGCTTCGGTCGGGCCTGCCCCTCTACAGGCGGAGCTTGGACGAGCAATGAAACATAGTCCAAACGTGCACCCAAATATTTACCGAACATGGTCCAACAATCCTCCCCAGATATTTTTGGGGGTTATTCTGGACTACAGTCGGGGCGTCGACCTAAGGAACCCCAAAGAAGTAACGAGGCCCCTTTTCCCCATAAGTTCAACCTCGACTTCCTATGAAAACCCCCAGGAACACCCGAGGCAAACTTTGAAACATTCAAGGGACACCGAGCCCCTCCCCGACGAAAAAGGCTCCTTCTTCAGGGCCCCGACTGTAGTCCTCCTGCAGAGGGACGGGCCCGACTGGAGCCACGCCTGCTCCGCCGTTGGCGGTGCCCATGGCCTCTCTGGGCCCCGGGCCCGTGGCTCGGGCCACTGGCGGCCGCTCGGGACGCCTCCGGCACCCCGGGAGAACTGAAGGGGCCCCGGGACACACAAATGAATACACACTAACAAAACGATCCCCCATATCTTCCCATATTTTTGGGTGTTTCGTCTTCCCCCCCGCTTTCCATCTTCTTGCATATTTTCCTGGGAGTCGACGATTCATTGTGTCTGTGTGCTTCTTTCCCTCCTGAAGAACGGCCTCGGCGGGGCGCAGCTGGTGGAAACCGCCCCGCGCCTCGGGGAGTGCCAAGACAACGCACGACAGCAGGGCTGAACCTAAACGGTGTTTTTCGTTATCGTTTTGTCTTCGTTTTCCCTCGCTTTTGTCTCCAAGCCGCCTTTGCTGCAAAACGAAGTCGGAACGAAAACGGCCCACGAAATCACCAAAAACACCGTTTAGGTCCAGCCCTGCACGACAGCCATTCGGAAACGTCCCCCTGTTGAGCACGGACTGGCCGTCCCGGCATGCTCAGAGGCCTGCCACGACATGTTCTCAGAACCCAGAAGTGCTTTCATAACAAAAAACGTGTTCTCAGAACATAGAGCCGATGAGTTCAAATAAGACAGTCCCAGCCGGAAATGGCAAGCTAGGACGCTTCGCCACTGCTTGACCCTCACGTTGCCCCATCTGAGCCTAAAACCCGTGTTTTGTGTTTGTCATCCGCGGCAACGCTCGCGACGCCCCCCCCCTCCCCCCCCGCCCCTTCCCCCGGTCACGTCACGATTCGCGCCGGCGCCGTGTGAAAATTGGCCATCCCTGCGAATCCCCAGACGGCGCCGGCTCGAGTCGTGACGTGACCGGCCCTCTGCCCCCCTCTCCCGTGCCCCCCGGTCACGCCCGCAGTCGCTAGGGAGTGTAAAAAACGGTCTCACACATTATACCCCTTTACTTGACCTCGACAGGCCTCACCACCTAAACCAGAGGCGACTCCACACAGCATGTGTGGGACACGCCGTGAGCTATCTGCGCCGTGCAGCAAGCGCAACAAAAAGGGCGGCCTCGCCTCGGCGAGAGCCGCTTTGGGGCGGAGGTTTCGCGAGTTGGAGCGCACGTCACACATCATATACCTCCCATCGGCGGCGGGCCCAGGGGGGGATGCGAGGGGGGGCGAGTCCCCTCAGAGGACCCTCGAGAAGGCTTCCAAGAGAGCCTGCTCCGAGGGCACGGGCGGCGTCTTAGAAGGCCGGGAGCGCCCATCATCTATTCTACCCCCCCTCGGCGGCGGGCCCAGGGGGGGAATGCGAGGGGGGGCAGGCGGCCCCCTCCGAAGGCCCTCCCTCGAGAGGGCTTCCAAGAGAGCCTGCTCCGAGGGTACGGGCGGCTTCTCGGAAGGCCCGGAGGGCTGCGGAGAAGCCCCGCCCGGGTTCTGAGAGGGCCTGCCCCCCCTCTCTCGCGTCTGGGCTCGATGTGTGACGGGAAAGCTAAACATAGACCCCAAGCATTCTCTAACATTGTCAGCCACATGATCAAAACATCGCCCCCAGACTATTGTTTGTTGAAGGTCGCTGGGGGGGGCAGCGTTGTTTCGCGGGCCAGATCCCCGCACGCTCGGCGGGCGCGCTTGATCGGTCAACAGCAATCCTTCCAGCCGCCCTTCGCGAGAAGCTCCGATTTCAGATTTGCTCTTGGCGACGATTGGGCTGCTCATGCTTGCTCTTGCCCTACACAAACATTGCCCTCTCCCCCGTCGCCCCAGACACACAGATCGCGCTCGCTGCCCCTCAGCGAGCTTCAAATTGTTTGGACTACTTTTGAATATTCCTCCTGTAGAGGAACAGGCCCGACCTAATTCTGGGCGATCGACGTTTCATCCACACCCCTGCTCGCGCCCCAATCCCACCGCGGGGCCAGCGTGGGGACGCGGATCAGGCGTGCTGCCCCCCGGCGCCGAGCTTCTGATGCACCCCCTGCTCCCCCTGGCGCCCAAGAGCGGGGGCCAGCAGTATGGGAGTATTGAAGGGGCCCCGGGACACACAAATAAATACACACAAATAAAATGATTCCCCATATGTTCCTACATTTTTTGAATTTTTGTCTTCCCTCCCACTTCCCATATTTTCCCATATTGTCCTGGGAGTGGACGATTCATTGTGTCTGTGTGTGTTTTTGTTTTCCCTCCTGAAGTATATGGATTCGTCTTGTGCTCAGTCCGCCCTGGATCGAACTTCCACCGCCGAACTTCCCCCCCGGGCTCACCGCCGACCCCAACGTTGCTCAGGGGCCCCCAAGCGGGGTGGTGACCACACCGTGCGGTCAGTCGGTGGGGATTCGGGGTCACCGCACGGTTTTGGGACTCGGGTCTCCCCCGAGGACGTCTCGGGCGACAAGGGGCCTCCGAGGCCCCAAGACCGTGCGTTGACGAACCGTGCGGTGAGGTCTTGGGGGATTTCAAGGTCACCGCACGGTCTGTCACCGCACCGTTTCGGGACTCCAAAGTTGCTTCTCCCGACCCCCCCCCCGCGCCGCAAGGCACGTACACCACCAACGGGCGCTCGGCCGACACCTCCGCGCCGGCCTCCAGCAGCTGGCCCCGCAGCTCGGCCGCCGCCGCGGAGTAGCCAAGGAGCAGCGTCTGGGACTGCTCGTCGTCCACGAAGGTCGAAGAACAGAAAACGGAACGGGCATACAGTCTCCGAGCTGCGTGCGGATTCCGCGAGGACGAGAAGAGCGACGTCATGATACGATTGACTCAAGATACAGTCGGCCCTGGTTGGACAGGACAAGACCCTTCCGAGGGCCACATTGCCATAGGAATGCAGGAGGCAAGGGTCACGAGACAAAAGACACAAGGGTACCCTTGATTTGGCAGGGTCGACCTACTAATCCGGGCCGCCTGTACGATCAGAGCCTGAGAATCCCGGTGGACCATGAGAAGATCTCGGAACTCTGGAAAACCTGGAAAGAATCATGATCATGACCTCTTGCTCCTTTGCTTCTCGGATCGGCGCTGGACCCTCTTGGTAGCGCATCCAGCGCCGATCCAGGACATCCGCGCGGGCCTCCGATTTGTTATGTCATGCCACGTTTTCTCCTTCGAGAAGTGGCACCGCGGGCTTCTCTGCGCCAGCTGGCGGCCTTCCGCCACCGCCTCACAATATTGCCCACTGTGCTCCACCACGGTCACGCCGCGATCGCGCAACAACTGCTTCTTCCACTCCTTGGCGTCCGTGGACATGTGGACCGTGGCCCTCATGCCCAAGGCTGCCGCGGCCAGCCCGACGGACATGCCCAGGTTCCCGGTGGAGCCCACCGCAACCTCCTCTCACGGGCGGCGAACGTATCCATCGCCCCGTGCCCCAGATAATAAAGCATCAGCCCCTGAACCCTGTAGTCTGAATTATCTCCAGCCAGGACAGAGCTGGTCGGGGGAGAGGGGCGGCAAGGCCGAACCTGTTTTTCGCGGGAAGCTGTCGCGAATCAAAGTTGCTATCGCTGTCTTACTCGTCTTCTGCTTTGTATGTTTCTTCATCATGGCAGTCCCACAACGACTGCTACTACTACTGCTATATTTTCTTATTCTGCTACTACTACTACTACTACTACTACTACTACTACTACTACTACTACTACTACTACTACTACTACTACTACTACTACTACTACTACTACTACTACTACTACTACTACTACTACTACTACTACTACTACTACTACTACTACTACTACTACTACTACTACTACTACTACTACTACTACTACTACTACTACTACTACTACTACTACTACTACTACTACTACTACTACTACTACTACTACTACTACTACTACTACTACTACTACTACTACTACTACACTACTACTACTACTACAACTTGCTACTACTACTACAACTACGACTACAATCACTCGGCAATTACTACAACTCCTACTACCATTACTACGGCTACTACTACAACTACTACGACTATTACTACTACTACTACTACTACTACTACTACTACTACTACTACTACTACTACTACTACTACTACTACTACTACTACTACACTACTACAACAACTTCTACTACTACTACGACTACTACTACGACTACTACTACTACTAATACTACTACTACTACTACTACTACTACTACTACGACTACGACTACGACTACGACTACGACTACGACTACTACTACTACTACTACTACTACTACTACTACGGGAGGAAACGACTACTTACTACGTACTACATACTGCGTACTACGTACTGCATATAGCTACCATTACTACGGCTACTACTACTACTACTACTACTACTACTACTACTACTACTACCAGACCAACTACAAATACAACTACACCAATTTACTGCTACTACTACTACTCCTACTACTACTACTACTACTACTACTACCACTACTACGACTACTACGACTACTACGACTACTACTACTACTACTACTACTACTACTACTACTACTACTACTACTACTACGACTACGACTACGACTACGACTACGACGACTACTACTACTACTACCACTACTGCTACGACTACTACTACTACCTACCTTCCTACCTACCTACCCACCGGCCGACCGACCGACCTACCTACCTACCTGCCTGCCTGCCGACCTACCTACGAAATACTACTACCTACCTCCCAGTTCCTAGAGCCTACAAACCTACTGCCTACTACTACTACGGCTACTACTACTATAATCCGACTACTGCTACTGCTACTGCTACTGCTACTACTACTACTACGACTACTACGACTACGACTACGACTACGACTACGACTACTACTACTACTACTACTACCACTACTACTACTACTACTACTACTACTGCTACTACTACTACTACCACCACTACTACCACTACTGCCAATACTACTACTACTACCACTACTACTACTACTACTACTACTTGCTACTGCTACTATGCTACTGCTACTGCTACTGCTACTACTGCTACTGCTACTGCTACTACACTATACTACTACTACTACTACTACTACTACTAGTACTACTACTACTACTACTACTACTACTACTACTACTACTACTACTACTACTACTACTACTACTACTACTACTACTACTACTACTACTACTACTACTACTACTACTACTACTACTACTACTACTCCTCCTACTACTACTACTACTACTACTACTACCACCACCACCACTACTACTACAACTACAACTGACTACCTACCAGACCACACGAGCCGAATTCGAAGACCCGAATTTGACCCGAATTTCGGGTTGGGGGGGGGGTACGGCTTCCATGTGTTTTTCAGTGTTCCCCGACCCCCCCCACTAGAAATGGATGGCAAATCGGGGCCTTCGGGTTGGTTTGGGGTGGTTTGGTGAGCGGTGAACAACTACTACCATGATCTCCTACACATCTGATGGAAACGGCTAAAAACGAGAGGCCTTACACATACACAAACTATCCCGAATCGGAATTTGGGGGGAAATCTTGACCTGGGGCCTCTCTCCTCTTCCACCCCTCCTCCTCACCTCCCCTTCTCTCTCCTTTCCCCTCCCCTCCTTGTTATCTGCGTGGCAGGGCTAGGTCGTCGTCGTCGCCGTTGTCGTCGTCGTCTTCGTGCGACAACGACCCCGACGACCTCCTCGTTCCTCGTCGTGCATCCCACGCACGACTCGTCGGCACAAACCGTTTATCACCCCCCCGCGGCCACGATCTGTGTGACCCCCCTCTGGGGGGATCGTGCAGATCGTGGGGCGAGGGGCTACCCACGCCCTCGCGGTCTGGCCTCCAGAGCGCGCTCCCGTGGACAGGCCGTCGCCTGAACACGCTCCGCGCGGGGACGCGTCAGAGAGGCCCCGTATCCACTGTGTCGCGGCCCGGGTGGCCCAGCCCGCGAGGCCCAGGATACGTGTGTGTATATATAGACATATATATATATATGTATATATATATATGTGTATATATATATATATGTATATATATGTTTCCCGCTCGCGATCCTCCTCGCCGAGCACCGCCCTCAGCGGGGGCGAGGCCAGCTTCCTGTAGTCGTCCTCGGGCTTCAGCAGGCCGTGCCCCGTAGCCACCTTGGCAGGGGACACGACGCGGGGGGACTGGCCCAAGCGGGGGATAAACGTCGACCCGGAATCGGCGATAGATCGCCGACGCATCGGCGGTAGGCCCCCGATAGCGAACCCGCGCGCTCCTGGGCGGCGTGGGCCATCGGGCCCCTCGTCGGCGCTCCGTAGGCTATCGGGGGTCGATGCGTGCCCCCCTTGTGCCTATCCGGCCCCTAACGCTGCCCCGTCTGGGGAAACCTCCTGGGGTGCGTTCTGACCAGAATGTCGAGGCGAATCCAGCGGTGGCGACGAGGGCCTCCCAGGAAGCCCAAGACGAGAAAAACGAGGCAAGGGTAGCGGTAGGGGTATCCTTTCCTCCTCTGAATAATGCTGCCCCGTCACCACCTCCTCCGCCCGGCAGAACACCTCGTAAAGCCCGCCGCGCGCCTTGACCGAGGCACACACCTGATGGGCCAATTCTTCACCACAACTACCATAGGTAGGGCGGGGGAGAAGGGGAGCTGGGAAGGTCCTCTTCCTCCTCCTGCTGCTCCTCCTCCTCCTCCTCGTCCCTCCTCTAATACAGTCAACTCGTATCAGAAGGATGCGCGATAAGGATGCAGGGGCCTTGGACGCCCATTTCGAGCTTTTCGGGCGAGGCGCGGCCAACGAAAGTGGTCAAAGATAGACCGATGAGGCGAAGATGCACGGGTACCCGTAGGAAAATTGCCCATCCTTTGAGCAGGGACCGACCGTCCCGGCATTCCAAAGGCCAACCAACGAAATGTTCTTAGATCCCAAAAATGTTTTAATAACCAACAAATTGTCGTATAACATGACACCGATGTGTTGAAACAAGAGAATCCCAGTCAGAAATATTCTGAGAACAGTTTGTGGGAACCACAAGCGGTTCTTAGAACATTGTTTGGTAGGCCCATAAGAAGGCCAGGACGCTTCGTCACTGCTTGAATCCTTACTACGCGGGCTGACTGTAGCGGTGGTTGCAAACCGGCCCATCAACACCGGCAGCTGGTTGTCTGCCTTCAGGAAGGCGCGCGCGGCGCCGCCCAGCCCCAGCCCCAGCGAGAGGGGCAGCAACGGCGACGCGATGCGGCCGTCCGGGGCCTCGTCGGGGAACAGCTGCGCCAGCAGGCCGAAGGGACAAACAGCGGCACAGGCAGCAAAAACCGTCGACGCTCCAGAATGCCGCCACGAGGCCCCCCAGAAGCCCCGAGGAGCCTGCCAACAACGAGATTGCCCGGAGAATGACCGCAGGTGTCCGCGACGACCCCCCGGAAACAGCTCTGGCCATCGCTCGGACGTCCATTCCCTGTTTGTTTGTTTTGTTTCGTGCGTGGCTTTTCCGCCAAATGATCGAGGATGCTTCTCAATGATCATCTCGCCGAAGGACAAATGTACGCGTCCGAGCGATGCCAAGAGCTCCACAGTCGCCTGCGTCACCTCCAACGCACCTCCAACGCACCCCCGCAGGAAAACAGCCCCCCGCCCAGCCGCACCGCACTGACCACGGCTGCTCGGGCCAGCGACAGCGGTGCGACGGTGCGGTCCAGAGATTCGACAAAAAGCACAAGCACAACTCGCCATCGCTCGGACGTCCATTCCACGTGCATCGTTAAATGTCGTGCGTGCGTTCTTTGCTCAACGATCCAGGATGCTCCTCGATTTCCCTTGCCGAGAAAAAAAATGCACACGCCCAAGCGATGCCAAGACAAACTGTCGACGGCCAACTCTGACGTCCTCAAGACGGAAGCGGTGTCATGGTGCGATTGGCTCTGGATGCGCCCCCAGGAGTTCTGGATCATCCAGCGGCGCTCGTTGTTCTGCAGCCCGTGTGGAACACCAGGAAGCCTGTGAAACCCTGGACGGCATCACTGTCATGACCTCTTGCTCCTCTGACGCTTGGGCCGGCGCTGAGCCCGCCCCTGCCTTGCGTGTGGAGCGCGGCGCGGGCGGCGCCCGAGGCGCCGCCGCGGAGGAGCTCCAGCGCCGACCCGAGAGACCCGCGACGACCTCCGAAAACTGATGCCCCTGCCGCTGTTTGCCCTTCGGGCAGGGGCGCCAGCCTGTCCCAGCGTCTCCGAGCGGCGTCCAGTCGGCGGGCGAAGGACGGCACAACGCAAGTTGAGCAGGGACCGACCGTCCCGGCATTCCTATAGTCATACCACGAAGTGTTCTTAGAACCCAAAAATGTTACAAGAACAAAACCAAGGTTCTTAGAAGAGAAACCCGATGTGTTAAAACAAGACAGTCCCAGCCAGAAATGTTCTGAGAACATGTCGCGGGAGCCACAACAGGTTCTTAGAGCATTGTTTGGTGGGGCTACAGGCGAGCCGGGACGCTTCGCCACTGCCTGAGCAAGCCTGCTCCGCCCTCTGGGACGCCCGGGTAGAGGCCGGCGTATACTGACGACCTACCAGACCACCCCAACCCAACCCGAAGACCCGAATTTCGGGTTGGGGGGGGGGTAAGAGTTCCACATGTGTTGTGTTTTTTCGATGTTTCCCGACCCCCCCCCCACTGGAAATCGAGGGTAAATTTGAGCCTTCGGATTGGGTCGGGGTGGTTTGGTGGGTGGTGATATACGGGGTCGGAAGATCGCACCGCACCAGCGATGCATCGGCGACGGGTCGGGGGCACGCCGCGATCGAGGCAACCGGGCTCCATATCGCGCCGCGCGTCGCAGATGCCTCGGCGGTGCGGGCGCGATCCTGCGACCCCGTCTGCCCTAACCCCATCTTGGCGGCCTGGACGGGGGCAGGCGTCCCCGATGGCAGACAGCGGAGAAGCAGCAGCGCACCGATACCGCTACTCCCCAGAACTCTCCCAGGGTGCGCTCTGACCAGGATCTCGAGGCGGCTTCGGCCGTGGAGGCGAGCGGCGCGCAGCGGTACCGATGCCCGGTGCCCTGTCCTCCTCCGAGAACAGCAAGATGTTCTGCCACTGTCGATCCGCCACTGAAGAGTTCCTCCTCCTCCTCCTCGAGCCAAAATCGGAAGGACCTTTGATGGGCGGCTGCCAGGGGGCCGCGGGGGGGCCCGCACCAGAGGTCACTCCATCAGAAGGTCAATTTTCACGTGTAGCCGATGAACTGGGGCGGGCGCCATCGCGATGTCGGAGTGCCATGTGGGACATGCTCTCGAACAGGACTATACCGTAGACGGTCTTACCCATCTGAGCCGAACGCAATGGCTGGGTTGTGTAAACAGAAATATGTTATGTATACATCTATATATATACATATATATATAATGTATGTATATATATACATATACATATACACATATTTATATATATATATATGCATATATAAACGTATCCAAACTGTATGTGTATATATGCGTAACAACACCTGCAGTGTCTACAGACGCTTGTGACTAGAGAGTGGGAACGATATTTGGCATAAGCCCGAGAGATTGCAAGTAGACTTGGTCCTCCAACATCGATGGCGGAAACACGCACATTACTTAGCCTCGAACGATCCCCACCCAAGAGAGCGAGCCGGGATACGCAACGGCAAACGTTGGGCCCAGCGGCCGCGGCTTGCAGGGTGTGCGAGGCGGGTCGGGAATTCCTTCCTCCACACCTATCGACCTCAGCCTGTTGGGTGGCCCTGAGATCCGACGTTGCGAACAAAAACTGTCGGGGAAAGTCACCCCTGGAACCCTAGACAACATCTCTCTACGGCATTATTCGAGCGGGTTCGATCTATATGGTCCTGGGGCCGAGACTCGGGCGAAAACGCATGGTGTGAAACAAATGCAACGCCCAGAGCTGAGGGTAACAATTGGTGAGACGTAAGATTCGGGTTCGGGGGACTCGGATCCTGACGGGGCCAT